CCCCAAAACCCCAAAACCCCAAAACCCCAAAACCCCAAGTGTCTTGAACTTTATTGACCAAGATTATAAAATAAAACATTAGCTTACCTCTCAAAAGTATGGACAAGAATACTTATAAGACATTTTCAAGCAAGGCGATACCTTTTGGAGGCCAAAAGAAAGCTAATTCTCGAATAAACCGGAGGATTATGAGTCACAAATAAGACAATTATAGGTACTCCTCCTTCGTTACTTTAGAAAACCGGAAGAAAGCACTTAACAATCTTGGAAATCGAAATTTTAACATTCAAAAGTAAGTAAATTTGACAAATTTTACCAGAAACGTGACCATGGGACTTTATCAGGTAGGCTAATCGTAATCTAGCGCTGTTTTGATAATATCCGGCACCACTGGAGACTTAATTTCCCCCATAATTTTGTTCCATGCTTAATAATAGTAACCCAAATTTAGAAATAAACCGGTGAACCTGAATAGATTTAAGTCTCCAGTGCCTGGAATAAGTCACCGGTTGGCCACAACAATAGATGGCAAGAACAGAACGCCAAATATGAAACCGAGAGGGAGACCAAATCAGAATTCAAGAAATGACTCTTCTTCCATAACTCCTTTATCATTGAAAAGGGGCTTCAATAAAATCAAGAGCAAGGGTAAGCTATTGGCTAATTTTTAGTCCCAAGGAGCAACTATATGGCTCAGCTAATGGGAGCGTAAGTCCCAGAGATGTTACTCTTTAGCCGTAAGAATCCAAAACATAATCATAAATAATCATAATAAGATGCCTGAATCCACTAAGAAAGTCATGCTGATGAAGCAGGATACACTGGTCACTGAAACGGATTTCAGCGAGTTCCCAGATGTAGCTCCCAAGAATAGTGCGCCAAATAGAAAGAACTTCAAGAAAATTCAGACTAAAATTATGTCTCCTAATATGCGGAAGCTTGACATGAGCAAAATGTAGGATACTAGCTTAACTTTTAGGAGGAAGTAAGAGAAAAGAAAGCTTAGTCGAAAAGTAGGTTGCTATAAACTACCTCTAGAATTCTCCAAGGAATCGCTAAAGGGATTCGCTCCCCTGCCGGTCGACAACTAAAGCCACTTCCTAATAGCAGAATGGCTCTTCATAGGAGAGCGAAAATGAAGAATAATGGCAAAAATTCCCATCTATCAATGGGCCATAGAGGTAACAAGGTTAACAATGTTTTTTAATTTGAGATTTTACCCACTTTTTTAATTGTCCTGAAACTTGTTAAATTCCTAGGTAGTCTATATATTTTCACTTGTTAATCGCTCCATCATGGCTGGAAAAGTATGTTTATCTAGTCAAAAAAGACTGATATTGAGCTAAAGCAATATGGTATTCAGGAAAATTTGAACCAATATAAAACTTGTCTCATCTATCTACAAACTTTGAGTTTTTAACAGTTATTTTATTTTAATATTCAATTCAAAATACACTATTTTCTGCCATATTTATGTAAACTCTTGAACTACATTCAAGAAGCTGTTAAAGTTCTTGGTCCTTTAATTAGATCATTTTAACTGCGAAATTTTCATACTACAATTGTGAAAATACCAAACAAATGTAGGAGACTTTGGCCGTCACAAGAAGAAGACCTTGCCGAAAACGAGTAATCACAATGATATGAACATGACTTCGTTCATTAGTAGTAGAGCTTTTGGAGATGTACATAATAAGTTAAAATAAGCTGCATTCCCTAATGCACAGTCGTCCGGTAAGCTCTTGCCAAATTCTTGGCTTATCAGTAGTCAAAATAGGTCCTTCGTCAGCAACAGTAGGAGTGGGAGACGAATTACACTTTCAAACACCAAGTCTCCTAACTTCAAGGATAATGCAGCTGAAAGAGCTAAGAGGTACTTCTCAAAGAAGAATGGAGATATCAGAAACCTTGAGAGAAAAAGAACAAACTCTATCAACTCAGTCAAGCTAAGGTACCCTTGCATTGACTTTTTTAGAAATCCGAAGAAGTTTAGAAATAGAATTAAATCTGAAAATGACTTTGAAAGCGAAGCTTTCAGAGAATCTAATGGTACGCATTAAGAAATTTTAAATGAGCTATAGAGTACCTAAACACAGACACAGTCGATAATGGCCCTGATGAGCACTCTCCTGCAATGCTAGTATAGCTAGTTTTACATTCTTTTAGGAAAACTTTGATCATGAGTTAGAGAACATTCCTGAAAGCTCTAAATTTATCGGTTGCAGTGGGAAAAAGTCAAAGAAATCATCAGCGAGCAAAAAGACTAGGAAACATGTGAGGTACTCTATCGGCCCACCTGAGCCTACTGGTAAGGTAGCTATCGATAAGGCCAAACTCCTACGTAAAGCTACATCTCGGAGAAACAAGGATATCAGTATCACTCCTATAAGAGATACCCAGTCTCGTAAACGGAAAGATACAGCTACAACACAAGTTCTCAGCATGAAGAACTTTGGAGAGAACAGAAGTGTAATTCGAAAGAGAAAGATTAAGCTTCGCCAAATAACCTTTAAAAAGCAGAGGAAGCTTAAAAATAATCGAATTAAGAATTCTTCAGAGTATTCGACTGCCTCTCAGAAGGCAAGTAAGGAATTTGTCTTTAAGTCGTTCATGTCTGGAGACTCCAAGAATACAAAGAAATCTAGAAACAAGAGTAGGAGCAAACAGAGAGGCACTATCAAGATAAAGAATAACTTAGGCACCATCCAAGAAGAGAAAGGCAAGAAAAATAAGAGGGGCAAGATGTCTAACTTCAATAGTAATAGTAACAACCAGAAGCTGACCAAGTTCTCACAAGGAAAGAAAAGTTTCTTGAAAACTAAGTATCCAAAGAACAAGGGAGATAGGCGCAGGACTATCTGAAGTGTGACTAGTGATGACAGTGCAGATAAGGGCAAGATCTTCTCAGATAGGCTACCTACTTCCTCCCGGAAGATCAGTTCAAGATCTGGTCAGAAGAAGTCTAATGAGAATGGGAGCGAAAACCGCAGATATGGATCTAGCTATTCGTACCAATCATCTGTCAGCGATTCTGAAAAAGACTATGGTAACTTAAAATAACTCATTTGTAGATGACCTCCAAGAACAGAAATTACTTGCAAATATGTTGCAGCAGAGTTATGTGAGAAGAAGCACCGAATTTGATGGAAAAGGGACGCCAAATCTGACCGATTTCCAATCAAAGAAAAGAGCATCCTCCGCTAGAAGCCGGGAAAGCTTCTTTATTCCTTCCATGCTTAATAAAGGTATTCTAAGTTAAACCCTGTAGAGGCAGAGAAAAACAATAAAGAAACGAAAGACAAAGCGAAAGCAATAGCTGTTTTAGAAGTCTCAGAAAGACTTGGAGGTAACTACCTTAGCCTAGCTTTATAGACAAGTCAAGCAACTGTGATAATCAAGGGGATTCATCCAGGCAGAACTCTAAGTCTAACAATTCTAAGCAGTTGGAGGTCCCAAATAGGCCTAGAAAGGGCAATCAAATTTCCATGACGGATATAGCTTCTGTCGTGGATGACACAGGCAGGTCCCATACTAATCGATAATAATTTAATCATCTATAACTTTCCAGTCAGTTCAGTCTGATATTCAGATTCGGGGTTTTGGGGTTTTGGGGTTTTGGGGTTTTGGGG